CTTGTTCTGCTGACCTAAATCCCATTGAACATCTATGTGACATTACGTATCGCTGCATGTGACGCTGCCATGTACCACCACAGAATGTCCAGGAGCTCACTGATGCCCTGAACCAAGTGTGGGAGGAGATCCCCAGTGACACCATCCGCCAACTCATCAGGAGCATGTCCAGACGTTGTGCATACAGAAACATGGGGGCCATACACATTACTGAGTAATTTCACGGCAAGTATGAGTTGCCGTGAAATTCACACAAAATTGGATCAGCCTGTGATTTCAATTTTTCACTTTGACTTTCAGTGTGATTTTGAATCCAGCCCTCAGTGGGTTGGTGATTTTGGTTTACATTGATCATAGTTATGTCATTTTGTTCACAACAAATTATACAATGTGCTTCATTAAAGATTTTCAACTTGAATCATTCATTCAAGATCTGATGTGTGATTTAATTGTTCCCTTAATTTTTTGAACAGTGTACCTATGTGCAAGGCTGTTGGCTGTATATGAATTTGTCCTAGTAAAGATCATTGTTTATTACTCCTTGATTCCCTCCTTCCATTTCTGCCAACATATCCTATCTCTTACACACTGAGCCTTTAACTCCTGACCTCAACCATTAAGAGCATTGCTGCAGTAGTATTCTGCCCCCTTAAAGTCACAACCTTCTCTTGTAGTCCGCAGACAGACCCCTCTCAAACACTAACGTTACTGGATAAAGTTAACTCATACTGTATTTACTGTTTGTTTGGTAAACACACTTCTGAGTCAACACATGTAAACATTTAAACTACAAGCTCTGTCACTTGCAGTTGCTAGGATACACTTAAAGTGTGCTAAAGCTAACCTTCAAACCAAAACTTAAATCAAAATTCACATTTCATTAGTGTCTCATGCCTCTGACACTGCCTGTTGTCTGCTGTAAGGTAAGTTAAATTTATTTTTTACATATATATATATATATATATATATATATATGTTTGATAAACAGAAAATTACTACTCTGAACTGTGGTGGAGATCAAGGTTAGCTAGTGCCGTTCGAGGGCTAACGCTATGTAGCATAGTTAGCATTATCTATTTACATATATTGACGAAATGTTGGCCACACTTAAACGAGTTAAAATAAATCACAGACTACACCGGGTAGTTAGAGTTATACTTACCAATAGACTCAGTTATTTTACGATGCTTTGTCATGTTAGCTTCTCTCTTGCAAAAGCAAACGCAGCGCCATTTAAGCTAGCTATCTTCCGGGTGTTTTACTGTCGCCTCGCGGGTAAATGTAGCGACAATTAGCTAACGTTAGGCTCATAGGCTAACCAGCTAATGTTAGCCTAGCTAGCTATTTAGCTTGAGAAATACAGCATTTATTTATTGGATATTGGTAGTGAAGTATTACTGTATTTCATTTAGTCATGTCCATTATGGTATTAATACAATATGATATTATGTTTAGGCCTGATACCACAATTTGCAATGATTCTATACCTTATCTGGCATAGTGGATTATAAACTTAAATGGATAAATGTATGTATAGCTAAGGCTAACACTTAATGTGTAGTAAGTTTGGGATACCTGTCCTGGAGTTAGGTGCACTGACAGCAGGGTCAGTGAAACCTGTGCACAACTGGACAATGGCTGCTTGTTGCTTGCAGTAGCTAATTACTTACAAAAATGATTTTACAATAATCGTAACTCATAGTATACTCGGGGTCATCCCTATGTTTCCAGGGTTCTATGTTTCCTGCTTGGTTGAGCAGGCAACACAGAACCCGGGAAACATAGAACCTTTTTGTGTAAGCGGGGAACATAGAACCTTTTTTGCTGGGTTAAGCGGGGAACATAGAACCTTTTTTGCTGGGTTAAGTGGGGAACATAGAACCCGGGAAACATAGAACCCTGGAAACACAGATATGCTCCTGTATACTCACCCTGCAAGTTTATGATCCTTTCTTGTTCTTTTTTCCCTAGTACCATCAGGACAAAATGAGCTTACTCCACCAGCAGTATCAGCAGCCAGAGATGTTGCCTGTGTGGCCGTCTACTCAGAAAACAGGATCAGGAGGACCTGGTTACCTGAATGGGCCACAAAATACATCTGACAGTGAAGCACATATGGCTCAGCGCGCCCGCCAACACGTTCAAACTCGTCTGCATGTGGCAAAATTATTTCAGCAATACAGGTGAGAAAGTGGTCAATCCAAATTCTAAAGCTCAGACAAATTAAAATATGTAATTACTGATATTCAAAGGTACCATACTATTTAGGTTATTTATCTTGATTTATTTTGAAGAGTGCGCAGGCAGAACATCACAGTGCTGAAACCTGATTTTTGTGACGTGAATTTTTCCAAAACATTTCTTTACTATCTCTCACTATTTGCATACCCCAATGAAGGATAGTGTTAGTTACAAGAAAATTTCAACAATATATATAATATGATCATCAGCAAGCTTCCTGCCTTGTTGTAGTGCAGACACTTTGGTGCTTGCTCTCCACTTTGCTTTGTTTGTTTGTTGCAAAAAGTTATGTACAGGGGATTCTTGATACTTGTAAATCAGTGCGACTTCGATTTACGAAAGACACAGATGGCTACAACCATTTATTTTATGGGAATGATACTACTTTACCATTGACTCCGAACAATGGACAAGAGAATGCTAACACACAGCTTACTAACACCAACAATACTACTGAGAAACAGGCGCAAAGCCTAAGAATAAATCATTGCCCTGGGAAATGGGAGGACAAATGACAGCCAGACACCCGTGCCCTGAGATTTGCGATGCTGCTGGCTGGCCTGCACTACCATCCAGACAGAGTGCCTCATACCCCTGTGCTTAGTCGGACATAGTCATGGACAGCTGCAAAAGGGAAAGTTGGCAACAGACCTCACCAGCAAGCAAGTGTACAACTTGAGAACAGATTGCACCACTGCTACAGGACCCTGGATCGCTGTCAGATGACCTGGATATCCTCTCATCCTCACGCAACAGGGTGAGAGTAACTCTTAAAGCAAAAGGCTACAGGGAAAGTTAATGACAGGGCCTCAAACTCTGATTGTGGGTGGTTTTGCTGTTAATGATGTAAAAGGCATGAGGAGAAGAAGAAGAGCTTTGACAGAAAGAATCCCACATATTTTGACTGCACACCCAACAGTGGAAAAACATCAATGCACATGGGGAAAAATGGTATTGTGAAAAGCCATCAGAGGTACTTAAACAGGACTTGGTGTTTAGCTGCTGCCCTCTACCACCAGTCAAAGGAGGGGCTGAGAGATTCAGCAGATTGCTGACACTGACCACCTGGCTCTCAGCTACATGAACCCTCCACGCAGTGCATCTTATTGCCAATTTAAAGTTTCTCTAGGACCACAGATATCATTTCAGGGTAGATGGAATGTGCCTCAACAAGTCAGGAGTATAACTATTTGTCACCGATGCTGCTTCGTCACCCATCTGCACCCTCTGCCACGGACAAGACACAAGAGGAATCAAAACAACGACAAGACATGACACAACTCACCGGAAACCCACCTGGAGAGGGTTTAACCACCCTTCTCAACAGCATCAGAGTCATCCTCTGCCTCCTCACCCTGATACAAGCACAGCATGTCCAGTTAGCACAACTGGTTGTATGCAAAATACAGCAAATGCTTACTCCAGGCCACAAGGTCAGTGGCACTATTTCCAGGACAAGTCAGGACCCAGTGTACCACTAGCTTAATTAATGATCTTATTAATACCTATAATGTTGATTTTATGTTTTTAATTAAAAACTGGCTAGATAATAGTGGCAGTGCTCAGATTACCATTGAATCAGCTCCTCCAAACTTCAAGTTGATGAATGTTCCTGACCTAAAAGCCTCCCTTTGACTATCTTAACACTGTGTTAACAGGCGGACCAAAAACCCTGCTGTTAAACATGAACAGACCTCCAAGTTCCTCTACAAATTTTGTCAACAGATTGTGATGATCTTGTCTTAACATTAACTTTTTCTTTGATAATCTCAAAGGCAAAACTGACAAATTAATTCTTAATAGGGATAGGGATTTTTAAAACATTTTTCATGGTCAGTGAAAATTTTGTAACTGCACTATGTAACTGCTTCCAACCTGGGAACAACTGTGACACACACATAGAAAAAAAATACTGCAGCCTCCCCAACCTTCCTTTAAGGTGATTAAGGTCTGTGAAAACTGGAATGCTTGCTTTCTCAACCTTTATTGTGTGTCTGCTTGTCTCCTGTGTTCGCTAGTGTTTACACTGATTCCACCTCTGCAGACTGTATTTCTGTTGATCTTGGTAAGCACCCAAGGCAGGAAGGATAGTGGCCATAAGTTCTGAAGTGTAATAAAAGCGTTGCAACATATGTATTGTACATGTTTTGACACGTGCATTTCATGTACAATATAATTGAAATCAAGTCTCATTTTACTACTTGTCAATAACACAGGACTCAGCCGATGTCCAGTAAATGTGATGTCACCATAACCTCAGACCCTCCATCAATAGAAAAGAAGATACGCCTCACTGTGTATGAAAACGAGGTGAGACTTAAAGGACTATTAAGCTGTGCTTTTAATTACCAAGCTGGGGAGCCTTTGAGATAATTCATTAATAATTCTTACAGACAGACCTGAGTTCACACACTTACTGTTTGTATTATATTAGATTACACACTCCTGTTGTCCTACATAGGCCCAGCGTCAGTATATAAATGCACTATTATGGATATAAACACCTAAAACGATATTAATTCTTATTCAGGTCAATTTTAATGAAGCCGGGTTCATTTTACACCTGCACATGATGGTGGTTGTGGCTAGTAAGAGGTTTATTTGTGAGAGTGATGTGTGTGTGTGTGTGTGTGTGTGTGTGTGTGTGTGTGTGTGTGTGTGTTTGGATATGCATTTGCTAATGGCTGCAGTGATCATATTGACAGCTTGCATATAACATTTCTGCCCAACAGAAAGTTGTGCCGGTCATTTTGAGGAACATGGGCGTCAGAACGGTTTATATTACTCTGCAGGCTTTTGACCTAGTAAAGAACATCTTCACTGTCAGAGACACTCACGGAAACATTATTGAGTCTATGAAGCAACTCCCTCTCAGCCGAGGTATGACGAAGACACACACAATCATAAGCCCCACACAAGAGGTTATATACAGCTGTCAGTGGATTGGGATTTTTGACACTTGTGGCAAAAAAGTAATTTCCAACAATAGTCCCTTTCATGTTCATAGTGTTCTTAATGGTGGATTCACAATGAGAAAGAAGGCAAACAGTGACTGTGACAATCATACAGTAAACCAGCATCAGACTATTGCCCTAACTCAATCTAGATAAAACAGTTGGCTATGAACAGGTATCACTGTGCATGACATGTAACCGTTCAGTTCCAACCTTGGGATCCTTGTTGCATGTCATACCCCTCTCTATCTATCTCCCCATTTCCAGGCTGCTGCTATACTCTTCTGTCTGTCCAATAAAGGCAAAAATGCCAAAAAATAGTCTTAAAAAAAACAAACGAGGTTGGTTATTTACAGACAACACTTGGTCTAATGATGCCTGGTGATTCAATCAAATATATTAAGACATTCTGATAAGCAATATCTCCACACTGTGCTGGGTTATTCGTCCACTAGGCGGGGGGATATTAAAGGGGCAAGACTGCAATCAGCCTTAATTAACCAATGTATTGTGAACGCTCAGGTTCAGAGAAGGTCGCAAAACAACTATTTGACATGTCTAAAGAAACAAACATTTGTTCAACAAGAAATAAATGCATACACATCAAATGGGATAGACATTAGAGCTGCAACTAACGATTATTTTCACTGTCGACTAATCTGTCGATTATTTCTTCGATTAGTCGCCTAATCATTTTATCAAAAAATGTGTTAAAAGGTTAAAAAATGTCGGTCTGTCTCTCCAAAACCCCAAAATTATGTCATCTAATGTCTTGTTTCGTACTCACGCCAAAGGGTTTTAGTTCACAGTCAAAGGAAAGAGTGTAAAGCTGCCAATATATGAACGTAAGAAGCTGCAATAAGAGTATTTTGGGGTACTTTTATAGTACTTTTCTATGAAAAATGACTTGACTACGAAAATAGTCACCGATTATTTTAATAGTCGATTAGTCATCGATTAATCTCTCAAGACAGATTCTGCAATTTACATTGTAGAATCTGTCGGCAGCCCTGTGTGAAAGACGACTAGAGAGGGGGGGGAGGGCGTGGCTTTGAGTTTGAACGATGCTGCGCTTTAGCCAATCACAATGGAGGGGGCGTGGCCAAGACATGCAGGTGTCCCCAGGAAATGTGTACCTACAGAAACAGCAAGCTCCACGTCCATGGCGACTGCTCCACCCAAAACGCTGTCTTGTCAATGTGAAATTTTTTTTTTTTTCCAGCGGATGTCTTAGTTACAACATGATTGAGCTAACTGGAGTAGTTTCATGTCGTATCCAACAACGGGAGGCTTTTAGCAGATGACGTCCTGATGTTAGCTTTGCTGCTGCTGTTAGCTGTCCCTGTCAGCTGCAGCCACTGATGCTTTCTAGACATCATGATTTCCCAAAACTGAATAAATACCACAGATAGCAACACAAAACTGCTTTGCTAGCTCAATCATGTTGTAACTAAGATATCTGCTGGAAAAAATATTTTATTCATGGACCATTTATTGAGTTATTACCTTATTTTTATACAGTCTATGGTTATTACAGACACCGCTAACGGCTAACGTTAACAGCTAACGGTTAGCCCAGCTAATCTACGATGTTATTATTGTTATTATTTACAAAACGTGCACACAGAAATAGTAACGTTTGTTCAGTCATTGTGTTTATAGACTTAACAAACATCAGATTAGTCTACACGGTGATATAGTGACGTGAAAAATGTGATATATAGCTAAACTCTGCTGGTTTTCTACCCGAAGTATTTGTAAACAACATGACGATTCCCTGGGGGCACCGCCGGAAGTGAAGGGCTAAGCAATCGCCGAGGCCCCTGCACTTCCGTTAGTCGAAAAACTCCGGGCTGTGCCTCCAGAGGTAAAGGCAGAAATTTTTTTTTTTTTTTTTTTAATCGATGGATTTCCAGATTGGTCATCGATTAGTCAACTAATCATTGCAGCCCTAATAGACATATTTAGATTTTTGGTTATCTATCCCCCCCAAAAGGGGCGTGGCTATGTTGTTTTATGACCTATGCTGATCTGGTCTATTAGAAATAGGCATATGCAGCTAGTTGGCGACTGGAATGCGCTCGCAGTTTGGTTATCTACAAATGCCTGGGAAGTGCATGTTTAAAAATGTATGCCTGTATCGTTGTACAGGCCTACGTACATTAAACTGCGTCAATGAAGTTATGTTTATAGAATGAGAGAGAACAGCTTTGAGTTGTAGTTATAGCAGAGACAGGAAGCTTAGCTGACTGGTAATAGTGAAGTACTTTATGCTGTTTTGCATAATTACAGTTCGCATTTTCTATCTGGTTTAGACGAATCATGTTCATAATCCTTTTGCAAATTTGTCCAGACAGTCATGTAAGTGGTTTGACAATTAAAATGCTGAATCCAGAAAATATGACTCTTATTTTAAAAGTATTATTGTCTAATAAATGACAAATGCCACATCTTTAGATGTAAAACATCTACTATTTTAATTCACATTTCATAAAGTAACATTAATGCATATATATCTCATTTCTTCCCTTTGTTTTCTTCTATGCTTTGTCTAGGAGAGGCATTTAAACTCCAGGTCCATTTCTACTCTGAGCATGCAGGCCTCTATGAACACTTACTGATCTTTCAGTTGGAAACGCACCAGCAGGCCTCAGAAAAGTCTGAGATCATGCGCCTCTTAGAAATTACGCATCGGACATCTTCTTGTGAGGAGCCCCTCTGTGCAGCCCCAAAGTCACTGTGCGACAACCGAACTGAGAATCCAAAACCAAATGGGTAAAACAAGCTAATATTCTATCATATTCATGTTATCTTTGTCACTGAGGGTACTGGGTGGCCCACCGACCATTTTCTGATTCACAGTGAAAATAATTGGATTCACACTGGGACATTTTATGTGTACCTGTAATGTAAATAAGGTTCCAGAGTGCATAAACAAAATGTGCAGAAATAACCACAAAAGTCTGAATAAATCAGAGCTTCATAACTGACAGTCATTCACATGGAACGCTATCACCCACCCAAATTTAGGTCACGAGTGTTATTAGTCATCTGAGTTCTTACTGTCCTGTGTTTTTCTTTGGTTTTTCCACCCCAGGGTTCGATTCAATTGGCTCAAGCTAATTGTGCCTTTGAAGGGATATCCAATGCCCGACAGTGTCAAAGACCTCCAGAAATCCAGCGCGTTCGTACTTTCACATGCACACACACACACACACACATACTAAATGAGAAGGTCAACATAATTTGTACCAGATTAAAAAAGTGCAATTGTGACATACAAACGCCTGTCAGGGTATATGACACAACTTAATATTCAAGTTAAGGAAAATGAGTCTATCAGTACATAATGACTCATCTTTGAAGTAGTCTCACCCCACCCTGATTCAAGAGCTGTTGTCACTGTACAAACAGTGGGTAAAAATACTGCATCTCAAGCTAAATGGACCTACTGTGTTAACCATAGCATGGCACACTACTGCTGTGATTGGAAAAACACACCTGAGTCTTTTTATTCTACACAGCAACTTATACTGTGACAGACATCTTAAAAAAAAAAAACATCAGTGTGTTAAGCTTACTTCAGACCAAAGAATCACAATGAGACAAGATTAACAAACTTGGCCAGCGTACTTCGCTACAGGCAGATTGACTGTTGAATCATATGATGTGCCTCGCGTTCTAAAACCAGCCAGAGTCATAGGTGACGCCATCAGCCGGCCTGAGTGGAGCTGAGACGGGGCAAGTAAACACCACTGCAACCTTTCTCTGCAACAGTTTCGTCTCGTCATGAACCTTTGGTCTGATCTGGGCTTAAGGACACTGGTTTGTAGGGTGTATGCAAGAATATAAACTTTCAGATCGAAGGTGTTTAGGCTGAGTTGTAGTGAGTAAAATGCAAACAGCCATACATTTTCAAAGCAGGGAACATGCCCTGCCACTGCCTAGAAGTTATCTGATATTTTCATGCCACTGGGATTTTTGTAGGACCCTGGAGAAGACACCTCTTAACTGGAAGAACTACGGCCAGAGGCTCCACCTGCTGCTGCATCTGGAGGAGCTCCAGCAGAAGACAGACATTGAGAAATTCAACAAGGAAGACACAACGTTTAGACACAAAAGCAACAAAGACATTTTTATTCTGAAGGTGATGCACCTTAAAAACACAACAAGACATAAAGACTGACAGCTGCTGTTCATTTGGCCGGAGCCTTGCCCTCACTTACTCAGAATGAAACCTTAAATTACACAGAGACGTTTTGTGCCATCAGGTTGCAGGTGACTCGAACTCCCCCCCAGAGAGGTTGTCCAGGAACTCTGTGCTGGTGTCTCCTCTAGACAGGTCGGCCTGTGGAAAGAATGTTTTCAAAGGCCGGGTCGTCAGTGTGACTGCGGAGTGGGCCTACCTGCAGTTCAGTGAAGAGTAAGAGCAGAACATTTTGTTGTTTAGTGAAGTATTTGCCCATTTTAAATTAAATCTATACACTTTCATTTTTATATTGCTGCAGTTTGAAATTAATAAATAAATAAGAGACAGACCTGTAAAACTGCATGGCTGCTCCAGGTGCCTAACTAAGTGATAAACTTCAGATTGTGTCAGTTGCAGTGATTGCAATTAATTGTAATTAAGCACAGAGAAATCCACCATAAAAGACACAGTAAGTTGTCTGAAAAGCGCTTGTTCAACTACTGCTTTTGCTTTAGTCTAAGTTACAAGTTAGAGCTACTTTCCTCTGACAAACTGAAGGCTTGATTCAAGTAAGTTCACCCCTTCCCTCTGGGTTGCTGCTTCTGTGACTCTGGGAAATGTAGGAAGATACCGATACCAGTGACAACAATGATCCCTGCACCACTTTTTTTTTAAACAGGGTATTTCCATTGATAATTCAATAAAGATGCACAGAGCATTAACAAACTGAACAAACAGAGATAGCCAGACCAGTGAAAGGAAATCCAATAGACAAGAACGAAAAATGAATAAGTAAATAAATGAAAAAGATTTAAATTAAAAATAAATAGAGATAATTTAAAAAATAATAAAAGGAAAAATAACAAATTAACTTGTGCAACATAAGTACGGGAGTACAACATGTTTCATTACAATTTTTCAGCGTCCATATTTGCTACAAAAGTTAAAAATGGTTGCCAGGTGGCAAAGAAGCGTGCAGATCCCTGCACCACTTTGACAGCATCATAGGAAAGGGGGGGTTTCTGGTACTGTGCACAGTGCACTAGAAATGCTTCTTGGTTTTAGTGTGGTTTTAAGTTTGTTTCTCACACACTGGGCCTCATGCAACAACATCCTCCTAAATTTATTTCATATTTTCTCTTAATTGTCTGTTAAGAGAAAAAATGTGAGAGGTCAACTCCAGATGCACCAAACGCTCTTCCTTCCAAATCTGCTCGTACCCAGATGTGCTGAATGATGAATCCAACTTGATCCTTAGTCAGGTATTAGCATAGGGAAAGGACACTGAACTTTGTATTTGGACAGGTGTTGTGCCGTGTGCAAAGAGAGATACTGCCAAAGGCTGTGAGAAGAAGAACGTCTGAAGTAGTGACATTATTATACTGTGGAATAAGCTAAAACAAAGTTACCATCATTTTCCAGAGTGTCAGCACTGGCGTTTCAGGAAAATTAAAAAAACAAAACAAAAAAAAACCCTGGAATGACAAAACATTTGTGATACTGTGAATGTCGCATCAGCAACAGTGGTGGAGGAAGTATTCATAAATATTATTCATAAATTTTCTTAAATAAAAGTTTGAATCCAAGGTGACTCCCAGAAATCAATAGGCACTGACAGAATAAGAACAAATTGTGGATAAGAACAAACATAGAGATATTTTGTTTGTGTAACGCTTCCTTCATGAGGCCCACTCTTTATCAATTGAATTTTTTAAGTTGTTCAGTCCCTGGTGCCTCACATGACTACGTGTGAATTTGAATACAGGTGCCCGAGTGATTTCAAGGAGGATCAGAAGTTCCGTTTTAACTTCATTATCAACCGCACGCCACTGCGTACCCAGCACAGAGCAGTAGACCTGGTGTCCACGCACAGACTGAGGGAGGTGCTGTTTCCTACTGGACAACATTCGTCGCACAGTTCATGTCTACACAGGTCAGACTTCTTCAAGCTCAAGACTCCAGTAAAAACATGTGATACAGACAAGGTCATACTTCAGCATTTTATACCATCTCTAGCTAAACTGTGACTCAGCTCTGACACCATTTGTTTGCACCTCTGTCTCTCTGTCATTAGGCTGTTAAATCTTGAAGGCAACCCGGAGCAGCAACAGGCCATTCAACACATTGTAGCTGCAACAGCAAAGCCTGCCCCTTACCTGGTATTTGGTCCGCCTGGCACAGGTACTGCACATACATACTGCCTCCTGATGCTTAAGTATTAGCTGTATTCACATTAATGTATTTTCACATGTACTGTGCAGGCAAAACAGTGACTCTGGTGGAAGCCATCAGGCAGATAGTGGAAACGCAGAAGTCGTGCAAGATCCTGGCGTGTGCTCCTTCCAACAATGCAGCCGATCATCTCTGCGAGAAGATTCTGGAAGAAAAGATTTGCAAGCATGAGGTGTATCGCTTGTACGCCCTAAGCTACCCAGTGAGAAACATCCCTCAAACGATTAAGGTATGAATTCTTTATTTTAACATATATATATGTAAAACTAGACATTAGCCAAAAAAAGGCAACACAAGTATTTTGCGAGAAGTAAAAAATACAACAGTTTCAAACAAGATCCATGAAAACACACCAGTGCATATAAGTTATGAGAAGTTCTGCTGCTTCACCTCCATCAAGTATCATCTTTAACCCTCTGATATTGTTTTAACTTACTAAGTACATCCTGACTACGTTATATCATGTTCATCTATGTCTCAGCAGGGAAGCTGTGTTTCATTAGGGGTGCCTGCTGTGAGACACTAGCACAACCTATTCCTATTCCTCATACCTATTTCTTCTTATTCCTCTTCTGTACTAAAACTTTGACGCAAAATTCATCTTGCACATTGCCAACACATGCCCAAAAAACACATCAAAACGTGCGGAAATTTCAGGAATAGTGTGCTGTGACTTTTCTCAGAGATTTGCCGAGCAGTTTTTTACGAAATTCGTAAAAAACTGCTCATTCAAATGAATGGGAGATTGTTGAGAAATCGACGTAAAGTCACTCCACTTTGAGGCCACACCAAATGGCCATACTTTGACATAGAAAAATGGTTCAAACTTTAAACATCTCACGAGACTCTCGACTTTATTGGACCAAGTCTGCATTTTGATCTCTGGTACTGTTTTTAAGAAATCACAGTTTACATTTCATGATGATAGGCAGTACTTATCAATTGCTCAGCTACTGCTGTGAATTAAGTGTTGTTTAGTTTAGTCCTGTCAAACTCATTCTGCCCTCTGCATATCTATGTGAACTGTATGCCCTTTTGTTTGTTTATGTACATATGTGCTTTGTGGTTTTCTGTAGGTTTGCTGCAACCTGAACCCCAAAACAGACACACTCATGATTCCCGCTAAAGGCACGTTGATGAGGTGTAAGATCCTGATCACCAGCTTGATAACTGCAGGAAGGTAGGGTGCATCTAACGTTTGTTAAAATTCTCTTTAAATAGCTTATCAGTGTTTCTCACAACAGATACATATGTTGAGAGAGGAGAAACACAGGTGTAATTAATTATATAATTAATGGCTGCATTCCATTTAGGTGTGCCAGTCACAGGCAATGTGGTAAAGTGCTGGCTCAATTGTGCAGCTCACTGGGAACAGCCCTTATTAAAATACTTAGTTACACCTGTGATTCAGCTACACAGTGTTCCCTGTGTCATCCTCCTGGCTATAATAAGCCAGTGTACTGTACTGAGAAAAGTTTTGTGTTAGCGTTATGTTTCATTTTCATACATTGTGTTTTTCAAATTATAGTTCTGTACCGACTCTTTTTTATTATTTATTATTAAAATCCCTTTTTTCTCCAGTTAGTGCTTACAAATGTAGACAATGTGAACATACTGAAAGATACAAAAAAGGCAAAAGTAGATGTACAGATGTTAAGGAAGAAGAAAAGGGGAAGACGAAACAAAAAGCCAGAGGATGTGAGGAAATAAAACAAAAAAGATCTGTTTTATGTTAACACATTTAGATTTTTGGACATTATTATGCTCTGGAGTTACAGGAAATGTTTGGATCACACAAGCCAGAAACAGTCCTGTAGCCAGCAGCCACAACTGGAGCCTTATTCTATAAAGAGCATAACACTCATAATATTAGTGCATCCTAATTTTTATCTGCTACCTTACATCAAGATTTGCTCCATCTCTCTGTCTCCAGGCTAGTGACAGGAGGGATTCCTCCACATCATTACACCTATATCTTTGTGGATGAGGCAGGGCAGGCTGCAGAAACAGAGTGTATCATCCCTCTAGCAGGTGACCAGCAAGTTTGATTTAACATATATGTTTCGCTTTAGATGTGCTCTCAATGTTTGTATGTTTGTGCCAAAGGTTTAGTGAAACCGCAGCAATGCCAGGTGGTGCTGGCTGGAGACCCTAAACAGTTAGGCCCCATCATCACATCCAGAGTGGCTGAGAAACATGGCCTGGGTAAGCACTGACTGTACCTTTTGAACGTATAGGTCAAGTGAAACAGTGAAAGTTGAAAGTTGTTTATTATTGCCTAAGGAGGTTTAAAGACATGTACTCTGTGCAGGTGTGTCTCTGTTGGAGCGTCTGATGAACGACAACAATCTTTACAAGCCACATGAGCAGGACGGGTTTGACAACCGCTTTGTAACAAAGCTACTGAGGAACTACAGGTACGGTTGAGGTGGTGCCTAAATTCCTTGCTTTATCTTCTTGTAATGTAACCAAACCCTTCTTTGATAGCTCTGCCTACTTGCCCTTGTGTTCTCAATGGTCTTCTTTTCCTCTTCACTCTCTCTCAGGTCCCATCCTGCAATCCTGAAAATTCCTAATGAGCTCTTTTATAACGGAGAACTTCAGCCATATGCTCCTAAAGCCGCATACAGATCCTACCTCAAATGGGAACACCTGCCCAAGAAAGTAATGTCGGCACGACCACGCGTACACACACACTTGCAGCTCTCTCTTTCAGCCCCTGTTCTCATGTCTCTCTCTGTGTCTCAGGGTTTCCCTTTGATCTTCCATGGAGTAGCAGGCACTGACGAACGCGACGCCAACAGTCCCTCTGTGTACAACATGGCAGAGGTGGAGGTGCTGAAGGAATACTTAAAAGCGCTTGTTGAGCATCTTCGCAAAAACGGTGTGACCAGAATTGAACCAGGAGAAATTGGCATCATCACACCGTACAGAAAACAAGTGAGTGTGATTACAATAATTCATGTATATAAGTAAATATACCTGGATAAAGTGCTGCAAGTCAGCTTTACTGCCATTTCTCTTCCCAGGGGTCGAGCACCACACAACACAAAAATAATCCCGTGTGCCAAAGTAAAAGATTGCAGCTATAAAAACACCTCAAATCGCAAACATGGTCAATTATTATAAGGTATTTCTCTTTTTGTGTCATAAACATTTACATTTACAGCCTGCGGCACTGCTGGCTGCAGCTTTTGAAAACCACTCCTTCAAATAACCTCACACTCAACACCGTGCTTCCTAGCAGCGTAACAGTCAATAGCAGTCCTGTCTTAATTCACCACACAGTGTGTGCAATGTGCGCTACTAATAAATAATACATGTCCTGAGGATCTCAAGAGTTTGCACTCAACACTGCACCTCCTTGAGTCCTCAGCAATATACCCGCCAAGTGTGAAGTCAATCAGATGAACAGGCATCAAGAGAATCAAAGGACGGAGAGACAGATCGAGACTCCTCCATTAGTGTAAAGCTAAGGGGATAAACAGAGTAAACAACGTGCTTTTTGTCGTACATGATGGGTGAGCAGCTTTCATTAGATCGAATGGGTGTCATTTTGGGAACCAGTATTCAGCTCCCCTTAAATGAATATCCAGTCTACTACTTTATACTGAAATGACTAGCACCACATCTGGTTAGCAACGTCCTGTTAACATCGTCCTATTTTTGTGTCCCGACAGGTGGAGAAAATCCAGAAAGCCCTTCGGACCGACAAAGATCTCCGAAAGGAAAACTTGGAAAATGTGTTGGTATGGAGACAGGAAGTGAATATATGATTATTGTGACATGTTTGAGAGAAATTTTAGAGCCTTATATTTATATTTTTTTTTCATAGGTTGGTTCAGTGGAGCAGTTTCAGGGGAAAGAGTTCAACGTGATTCTGGTGTCTGCCGTGCGCAGCAATCTCAAGCTGACTGCAAAAAAGCAACGATTCACTATAGGCTTTCTTGATAATGAGAAGGTGGGAGACATCACATAATCACACAGTAACTTAGGAGCAATAAATAATAATTGTGCAACTATTTGATATAAAGAAACTGATTGCCATTAAACTCCGAATGTAAACTATGGTAGCAGCAGCAGATAAACTCACACACTCAGCACTACATGCACACTAACTGAAATTTCTCCTCAGCGGTTTAATGTGGCAATGACCCGAGCACGAGCCCTGCTGATTGTGATTGGAGACCCCCGAGTCTTGAGAACTGACTACATCTGGAACAAGTAAGGCCATATGTCCTCATCAGTAGAGTTGAGTTGTTTGGACTCTGACGTGCTTCACACACTGACCTCTCTTTTTAGATTAATCCATTACTGCTTCACAAAAGGGGGTTACCGTGGCATTACAATGTGTGATGCGAAGGAAGAGGAAGATACACAGACTAACGTGCACACCCAGCCTCTGGTAATATGCACATTCACGCATAATCACACACTTTGTACTGTCTGTCTTTGTCTGAAAGTCTTTTTGAGGACTAAGAGCTGTTTGGCTTATTTTTTTTACCTTTGATCCTCACCCCACAGGGTAGAGGAGGGCAGCTGGACCCCTGTTGAAAGAACCAGCAGACCTCGCACACTCATCTTGAGGGAAAAAAAGAAAGAATAAAAAAGTGGCATAAACATCATCATCATCATTAGCATCTCATATCTAACAAATCCACCAACATTACTAGTTAGTTATGTTAAACTGGGCTACTGTCTTACATGTGAACAAGATAGTTTCACAAAAGGACAGACTGACTAGTTTAAGCCCAAAACGTTTGCCACCCTACACAGAGCCTCAACCTCTGACTCTGCCCACATCTCAGTTTACTGTCAGAAATTCAAATTAGTAAAGGAAATGGAAATTCAATCTGATTACCAGGTTTGGAGACAGCTATTAAGGTAAGACTTTCCATGGTAACAATCAGTGACACCTGCTGACATGTGACAGTCAGAGGAAAACGCTGACTCACTTTATGGTTTGCAAAGAAATGTTGTGGAACAGGAAATTAGGTTTCATTTTCAGTTGAGCTTTTACTACCTGGAAAATGGGATTACTTGACATACTGTAGCCGAGCCATTAGATATTTGTATACCTGTAGTATTTCCCTCTTATTTATATCATATCCAAATAGTTGGTGAAACAGAGAACACAGAGAGAAATGATCATAAGTCTGATGATGACTGTAAATATGAGCCCAATCATTAGGTCATTTTCTGTGACCACTTATCCTGTTGGGGTCACAGGGGGGCTGGAGCCTATCCCAGCTGACGTTGGGTGAGAGGCGTGGTACACCTTGGACAAGTCGCCAGACTATCACAGGGCTGACACATAGAGACAGACAACCTCTCACACTCACATTCACACCTACGGCCAATTTAGTGTCCAGCTATTGATGAGTCACTAACTGCATGGAGGAAGGAGGGAGGAAGCTGGAGTACCCGGAGAAAACCCACGCTGACAGGGGGAGAACATGCAGACTCAGCACAGAGGGGCTCCCCCACCCTGGGGTTCAGTCTCTTTGCCCTGAAATTGAACCGGGAACCCTCTTGCTGTGAAGTGACAATGCTAATTGTGCTGCTGCACCACTATGTCATCCTTATCTACAAATTTTAATACCAAAGAAACACTTGTTTATTTCTGCAAGTCATTTTTTCCTAGCCAGTAGCCACAGTGCAGCAATATAGCTACTTGAAACACTTTTATCTGTAAGGAGAGAAACCAAAAATCAAAGAACTGAAACCAAATGTTAAAAAAAGAACATGTTTATGTAGTTTTACACTTAATGGAGTTGGTTAAGAAATATTTTCGGTTCTACAGGAAGGTGATCCAGACACTCTAAAATATAAGATAAAATAGAAAATGAGAAAGGAAGAATTAAAAGGCCTTTCAAAGACAACATTGTTTCAGCCACTGTAGGGCTTCATCAGGGCTTTGGTTTGGCTCAGACTCAACCCCAAAAAAAAACACCTGCGAAAAACTGTGACACATAGTTACTGATGTGAATCTAAACCATCTCTGTCACTCGTAACTAATTATAGGCTACTGGACTTACCAGACTCAGTGGGCAAAAGGTGAAATGAGTAAGACACTCCTTGTAGCCTTTACACAAGGAGTTCAAGTTTCTCACCCATTATGAGCATCAGGATCTCCTGGCCTTCATCACTCAGAGCAACAACACCACTGTTTGACTTAACTCTTCTAAACTTGTGTCTATTCTTACACAGTGTTACTCAAGTTACTGCAGAGTCTGTCAGCATTCTGAGGTTTAACTTGTAAGAATTTTGACGAGGCCAATTTCCTCATTCACGTGGGACGTTTCCAGAGTGCTTGCTCTTTTGATAGTCTAACTTGTTCTTTGCCTACCCATTATATTTCCTTAAAATTACAGGGTGTAATTTAAGGGAGATTTAGTGACATAAAGCAGCGAGAATTGCCAGCTGAAACTTCTGCTTAGAATTCTTTAAGCATTCATTGCTCAGGTTTTCACCAGGAGCCCTATTGACCCTTCGCTAAGTTCCGCCCCTGGACACAGACTGGCCAATCATAATGTAGCACCTAATGTGTGCTCACCTTATTTCTTATCCAGATGTTCAGGAGGTTTTTACTAGGAGCCAAAGAGGTCTCCTCTCCAAAACAAATGGACCAGTGATTTAAACTGGTAAAACTGGTGCATAAAGCATGAATGCATGAATAAATCAGTTTGTCAGACGCTCTTGACGCAAAGGAGCTGCTAACTACAGTGGCTGTCACTAAATCGCGAATGGCCTTAAGTACAGCCAGTGTTTGGTTTGTCCTGTCTGGGCTACTGTAGTAACATGGCAGTGCAACATGGCAGACTCTGTGGACGAGGACCCGCTCCCTATGTAGACATAAACATCTCATTCTACGGTAACGACAACACAACGATTCTTATTTTCAGGTGATTATACACTTAAGAAAATACACTGATTATATTATATTTCCCCCTGAACCCTGCAAACTGGACCTTTAAACAAAAGGCGGCATCATAACAAAGCTTCGTCAACTAACTTTCATGCAACCGTGTGCTCATATTTGAATTTGAATTTACATGTCAGCAAACGAATCTTCCTATGCACACTCAACAACAGGATATCCTGTGCTACTTGTGTTGATACTGCCTCACATTTGAACTCCGGAAATTAAAGATATCTTTTTGTGTGTGCATAAAATGACAGGTCATGAGAGAACTCATCTCCTTTTTATATTCATTCAAACCACCCCAGGAGTTCACAATGGGACCAGCTGAAACATAAGTGCTGTATAAATGTATGAACAGACAATAGAAACTGCTTTCATATAGTCTTATGTTTAATGTTGTGGTATGATGTTGAAAACACTGACCTCTAATTCATAATTAAAAGACCATATGTGCTTTTATTTTATTATTTCGTTATTATTATGTTTATTAGGCAGCAATAATAATATTATAACAGTAATGTACTACTGTGTCTCTGATGTTTTGCATTACACAGACTAAAATAACTGGACACATACAATAAAGCCTTAAGTGATTGTAGGCGATGTGTCCACTGGCAGACTCACCCATATCTGATGTTTTTAGGCCTATATCTCTCCTCGGATTAAATGTGTTTACAGTTTCGCTTTACTCACTTGCTGTCATGGTTCAACACGTTAAGTTTCGTTTCTCTGGACTTACAGGCTGTGGGGATGCACCTGTTTTACTTATCAGGTCTTTGCCGTCCCGGTGTTGCAGCTCCGTTACGCGAGAGACACCGAAGCACCGCCCCCGTGGACTGTCCAGGAGTACAAAGGGAAGCACAGTCTCCGGGATTTCCTCTGAGATGTGCGAATATAAGCGCTGTGTTGATGAGCGGAGTACTGTATTCATAACCGGACATTTTGTTTTTTGACATCTTTGACCACATCAATCTGTGATAATGGCTCATAGGAAGTTATCTGTAAGCGTACGCTGCCAGATTGGAGTGGACTTCTTTGAGTTCCTGAGGGAGAGTGACCGAGCATCCATCACCGACAGACTGGAGCTGAGAGACATCTACAACAATGAGTTCAGGAGCAGGTAAGTTATTCAGCATTATATTATATTATAGGAGATCAGTGTGCATGTTTGAGATCTTTTGTAAATGTTTCCGATTTAATATTTTTGCGTTTATTTTAGAAACCCAGGGACCAAAGATCCAAACTTTGGGTCAGTCCTCTATGCCCTGAAGACGTCCAACAAAGTAACAAGACGGAGAGACACTATTCGGTTCAACACAACGGTATGCAACTTCCGCGTTATGTTTGAAGCAAAGAAACCTGTTGCAGCAGTATTTTAAATTTCTGTCGCAGGCACTGGCCCAGGGGCCCAAAGTCTCAAGGGCCTCCCTGCATGGCCTTCATCTTCACAATACCCCTCAACTCACTAACCATAAAGAGACACAAATTGATGCAAATGAACTGTACAGAGACACAAAATGACCAAAAAAGAAACAAAATTACCTCAAGGAGACAAAACCATAAAAGATTTTAAAAAAGAAAGACGTCACACAGAGGTGTGGGGTGCAGAGGGTGCTGGAATGAGTATGGGATGATTAGTGCAACAGGTTGCTTTCTATAGGTGTTTACTCTTTATTCATTCATTTATGTATTGCCATCAGTTTTGTGTATGTGTGAGTGTATATATACGTAGTTTGACAAAGCAAAACACATTTGTCATGACTGGATAATTACAGAAGCGTATTGCATTCAGTTGACAAATAAAAAAAGCTCTGTTTTTCTGAGTAATTTTTTCTGTTTTTCTGAGTAATTTATTTATTTTTCTGTTTGTTCTGAGTAATTTTCCCCCTGTTTTTCTGTTTTATTTTATTTTTTTAATTTTTTTTTTTTTGTGGTAATTTTTTTTCCTGAACGAGGAGACGAGATACTTCAAAATCTCGCGAGAAGCTCCTACCTGGCACCTGAAAGTAACCCCTGCATCCATGGTGACTCCTGCTCATGGATGTATAATTATGTGCCTTACCCTTATTGATCCCGTAGTTGAAATTGTAGGAGCAGGAGCACGGATGCAAAATACATCCATGAGCAGGAGTCACCATGGATGCAGGTGGGAGGTTCTTGCGACATTTTGAAGTATCTCATCTCCTCGTTCAGGAAAAAAAAATAACCACGAAAAACAGAAAAAATGACCACAAAAAAAAAACATGGAAAAAATTACTCAGAAAAACAGGGAAAAATTACACCAAAACACAGAAAAATGAATAAATTACTCCGAAAAACAGAAAAAATTACACCAAAAAACAGAAAATTAAATAAATTACTCCAAAAAACAGAAAAAATTACACAAAAAAAACAGAAAAATGAATAAATTACTCCGAAAAACAGGGCTTTTTTTATTTGTCAAGTGAATGCAGTACGCTTCTGTAGGATATAAAGATGATTCTTTTAATAAGAATTTTTATTTTCTAATTATTTTTATATTCTGTATCTTGCTGTAAGACAAATATTATTGGTAATTAATTTAATATATTAGAATAGGTCTAGGACAATTAATCATTGTACAGTTTTATACTGATGTGGAGCTACATAATTGACTATTATTAATTTATGGAGAAGAGGTGGTACTTCCTCCCACTCCTTTTTGGACATGC